CTACTTCCGTAGTGATACTGCCTCGGAAACCCAAGGAGGGGTCGCTGTGAGTCGGGGCCGACTCGACGGCACATAACAACAACAATGATGTTTCACATCATTTCATGTGCTTATTAGCCATATGTATATCCTCTTTTGAATAATACTTATTGAGATTATTTGTCTATATTAAAATTGAGCTATTTATCTTTTTATTATTGAGATATAAAAATTCTTCATATATTTTCATACATGATTTGAAAACATCTCCTCTCATGTTGTGGATTGTCATTTCTCTTTCTTGGTGAGAAACGAAAAATTTCTTGGTATGAACTTCTAAATTTAAACACAAATGATTAAAATTTAAGAACCAAAGTCTGGGGCAGGGGGTGGGGTGGAGAGTAATACTTTTTAAAATAAGCAACATTTCTAAACTGGGGCTGAGTAGAGAATCAACTGTGGGGATGACAGTCCGTACATGGCACTTACCACCATTAGTTGCTCATACATGTGTGCAAGTGGTAAAAACGAAATGTGCGTGTCACTGGCATTCAAGTCAAGCACTCTCTGTAAAACACAACAACTTAGCCAAACACAAAGAAGTAATCAAGCAAAGGTAACAAAACTCAATACCTACCTCTACAACTGTCTCAAACATATGGGCCAGAGGCAAGAAAGAAATCAAAGTGTCATCTGGGCAAGGATTGACTATATTCTGTAAGCAAAGACACCAGCAAGGCAGAAAAGTATTAAGATTTCCATAATTTTCCCATTAATTTCAGAGCACATAGTATCTCAACATTAAGGAGAAGCAGACTTTGCTTATGGTACAATTACTTCTCAGCAATACTTTTAATTATTCAAATAGAGTGAAGTATATATCCAAATGACAATGCAAATCCAACCAGGCCTTTAATCAAAACAAGGAAAATTTTGCTCCAAGTGGGATGTTGAAAGATTATGTGCTTTAAACATCTAGTATATCAGATTGATAGTACCCGCTTCCCAGCATGCTCAATTCCACCCTTAAGAAACGTAAGTTAGCACAGGGGAAGGGGGAAGCAAGGTAAGAAAAACTGGACATCCAAGATTCTTTTATTTGCAGTATAAATGTACATAGAGTACTTGAGTTTGATCAACATTTTTACCTTAAAGTCCTACTTTGCTGTTGTTGTAAGCTACCGAGCTGAGTCCCGACTCATGGTAACCCCATATACAATGACATGGGATGATGTGACTCATGGTTTTCAATGGCTCATTTTCAAAAGCAGATCACCTTTCTGTCTACTCCATTTTAGTCTAGAAGTCCCACTGAAACCTGTTTTAGCATCATAGCAACACGCAAACCTCCAACGACAGATGGTGGTGGCTGTATATGAGGGGCACTGGTATGGCCAGCAAGAACTCTGCCACTGAACACTACTGCCCCTATGACACCTGATGTTAACCCATGAAACGTACTCCAATTTGTTTAATGCAAGTTCAGATCTGTACCAGGGGATATGTTCTCCTACAACATGTTGATCATGTAGGGACTGCATCTAGTTTTGATTTGGACATCAGGTTTTTATCTCTTGGCTCAGAATAGGCTTTACTTTATTGTGGTAGGCATATTGAGTATTTGAATGCAATGGTGTTCTCCTGTTCTTAACTTGAAGAACTTTGGCCAAAACCGAATGGTGTCAACAACGGCTGCTGCCACACCAACTAGCAAATGTGGGAACTGTTACGTTGCCTAGTAGGTGTTACATTCACTTCTGAGCCATGTTCTCCCTGCCCCCAAAGCTGAGGCATCTTTAATAATAATGTGATAAGTGAAAATACCCAGAAACCCCAATGCCATCAAGTTGATTCTGACTCATAGCAACCCTGCAAGACAGAGAAGAACTGCCCCATAGCGTTTCCGAGGCTGTAAATCTCTACAAAAGCAGACTGCTTCATCTTTCTCCCATGGAGCAGCTAATAAGTTCGAACCACTGACCTTCTGGTTAGCAGCCAAATGCTTTGACCATTATGCCATCAGAGCTCTTTAGGTAAAAATACCAGTCCTAAGCAAACACTGCAGCTCCAGAGGTGTTCAATATAGGTTGAGCATGGCGTAATATTACTTTAATTTTATTCAAGTGTGACCGGTATACCAGCAAGTTCTCATAATAGAACTGTCATATAAAAAGTTGTTGTTGTTGTTGTTGTTATGTGCCGTCGAGTCAGCCCTGACTCATAGCGACCCCTCCTTGGGTTTCCGAGGCAGTATCACTACGGAAGTAGGATTGCCCAACCTTCCTTCCGAGGAGTGGCTGGCGGGTTTGAACCGCCAGCCTTCTGGTGAGCAGTCAAGTGCCTTAGGCACTATGCTACCAGAGCTCCTATATAAAAAGTAGCTTACTCAATTTTCTGATTTAGTATAAAAAATAATATCCATTAAAAATGATTAGAGTTTTACAAAGTTGAGGATGTCCCTTGATACTGAAACTGATTTTTAAAAAAGTCTTACAATCATTTGCCTCAATGAGCCACTAATGTATTTTAAGTTTTCTTTGAAGGCCAACTAGGAAATTAAATTTCACTTTAGTAAGGTACTAAATGTTGATCTCTGTATAGAAAGCATACATTAAATAGTGTTCTTGGAACTAAGAATGTGTGAGCAGACTAAAATAAGTAGAAGATCCCCTAAAAGATCAAGATTCTGCAGCCAAGGATGTCCATTTCCCAGATGAATTACGCATACACAGGTTCCTGCTGCAAAAACCAGGCCCATGGAAATACTTCCAAGAGATTGCAAAAGCAAATCATGTAAAATTATATTGTTAAGTATCTTTTCAAAAGGCAAGTTCGAAATATACCTTTGGCTAGCAACCTTTAAAATTACAGGAAATTAATGAAAGTTCTAGGCTTTAATCCTTCTCCTAAAATGGAAGTCAAATTAAGCAAATAACTAGTAATTCAAAGAAGCCTCAGCAACATGTAACATCTCATTGTAATTTAAAGAAACTATTGGCCCAACACCGGAATAGTGGATCAAAGCACAAGAGAATCCTCTCTTCTCTGTTCTTTCCTGGAAACATTTGTAAGAGTCTCCTAGTAAAGTTTTGTAATATAAAACTACAGCCTATTCATTCTGTCAATTCACCTTAACTGTCACAAGCAAGAGCTGGAGATCAGGTTCACAACATAAATAATTTAAGTTTCAGACATATATTTCAGATAGGATTCCCAGTTGAGTGTGGATCTAACACAGCGAACTACCCAGGGACTCCAAGCCATCAAGTATCATCCAAGATTTCTAACTAGCCACTTTACCACTTTCATTCTTGAGGCCTAGTGCCAACCAATGAATATGAAGAAAGAGGACAATGTCCCCAAAGGTTACCTGTGTCATTTTCACAAAAGCTGAGCAATCGCTCACCACGTTTTGATGGGTGATCATTGCTCCTTTGGGGTTGCCTGCAGAAAACATATGAAACAGAACAAAGAGTAAATGAAACTCCTTCCAAGAATGACAATTGAGGAAGCTCAGAAACATTGTATGATTAGGATCTCAAATGCCTCTAGGTTAGGCACCCTTATGAAAGTCAACTATTGAGTAACATTAAATTTCTGAGCAACCTGAAATTCTTTAAACTGAATCTTATCATTTTAAATCATCTTTATTAGCCCGGCCAAGTTTTAGAAGATGTGCAGAGCAATGTTGTTGTTATGTGCCGTTGAATTGGACCCAACTCATAGCGACCCCTCCTTGGGTTTCCGAGGCGGTATCTCTACGGAAGTAGATTGCCCAACCTTCCTTTCAAGGAGTGGCTAGTGGGTTTGAACCGCCAGCCTTTTGGTTAGCAGTCAAGTGCCTTAGGCACTATGCTACCAGAGCTCCCTGTAGAGCATTAAGAGAAGAAAAACTAGTAATTTTTTTTACTGGAAACCACTGACATGGTTTGCTGCAGGAAAACAGATGAATTTAATTTTGCATTCAGTAGATATCTGAGGAAATATACGGCACTCACAGATTTTGAGGATGTCCTGTAGAATAAACAAGGCAAAGCTTGGATTGCTTCAGTCTCTTCTGCTTTCAGTCCATCTACAGTTAGGTGGTAAGTCATCCAAAAAAGGGGGCAGGGAATCCAAACTTCCAGAAACCACTCAGGAGTAATCTCACTCCAAACTTACCTGTAGTTCCACTTGTGAAACAGATTATTGCAAGATCTTCAGGTGTTGGAGGCTAAGGTGGATAAGGGAGGAAAAAAAAAAAAGTTGATATAAATCAGAACAGAGAAGAAAATTATAAGCCATGAAATTGTTGTTAGCTGTCTTTGAGTCAACTCCAACTCACGGCGCCCCAACTTGTGCCAAGGAGAACGACTCCACAGGGCTTTCAAGGCTATAACCTTTTGGAAGCAGATCATCAGATCTTTTGAAGTGCCTGTTGTGGGTTCAAACCACCAACATTTTGGCTAGTAATCAAGCACTTAACCACATGTACCACCCAGGGATTCCAAACCATAAAAGATTTCTACTAGTTTCCAAACTGAATATATATTGAAAACTATATTGAAGGCTGTACCAGGGTCTGAGTGTACTTACTTTGGGCTTCTGTCGGTTGGCTCTTCCCAGGTTCTTAATTAAAAGAAGAGAAACAAATCTTAAATGGAAATGTTTTCTAAATGTAAAGAATAAAGTTATATAAAGTCACATATGTTTTACTTTACTGTGAGGGTCACTCACAGCTGTCCAAAGACAACATAATTTTCAAATTAAATAAACTATAGCAATTTTAATTAATTCAAACCCAAATATTACCCATTATTATAACCCACTTTCCAGATGTCCTCCTTATATTAAACTTTATAAATGGTATAAGGACTGCCTTTTGAAATAGGACTTCTTCAAAAGACAGTAATCAGTGTTTTAAAATTCACTTCTTGTCTCCACTCTCACCTCCCATTATAAACTCATAACTAAGTCTCACTCTTAAGTATTACCAAAGCTTTACATATCCATTGATAAATAAAAACAGTAACACTGATGTCCAAATAAAAAAGTAAACTAAGAGCTAAAGTGATAATTCTACAGGTATTTTTCCAAAATAATCTTTATCAGATCCAAAGTTCCACTCATCTGTTCAAATTTTCATATAGCTTCTTGAGATCTACATTTCAAAAACTGATGTTTAAGAAAATAAGACAACAATCTTATGCAATTTTGCTTAAAACTCATTGAGGATAAACATTTATCCAACTCAATGCACTATGTGCAAGGAAAGTTTCACAGTCTGAAGCATTTTTTTGTCTTAAATTAGAAAAAAACTATGGTAATTATAAAAATAAATGAGTTGTTATTTTTAGTATCAAAATGTAAAAATTTTACCTTCTCCAAAAAAAACCCTACAAACAAATACAGAATTCTAGGTGATGAAAAGTATGCTTAAATATTTAGAGGTGATAAAGACTGGTATTTACTTAAAATGTACCAATAAGGTAAGATATATTAATGAATAGATAAAGGAATAGAGAAATGTTAAGTATGTGAAAAATCAAATATATATTAAAATATTAATTGTATAATTTAGGTAGTGGGCATATGGCTGTTTACTGTACAATTCTTTCAACTTATCTGTTAATCTGAAATTTTTCATAATCAAACAGTAAGGAAAAATGTAAAAAGTTTTACTTTTAATTATGAAATAAATAAATGTTAAGATAAACTTGATCACCAAACCAACCATAATGCTACTTTTGAACTCATTTCTTAAAAAATGTTGCTTACAACAGGGAGACAGCTTAGGGGACAGGAGTCCACGGAGGGATAGACACTGGGAAGAGGTAACTATGGGGAGGAAGTGAGAGGGGAGCTGTTGCATTATGGTAAACTGTGGTCAATGTCATGAGACAAAGTTTATGTAAACTGCTGTATGGAAAGTGAATTTGCTCTGTAAATCTTCACCCAAATCACAATAACAATAAAAAAATGTATCACACACACAAAAATAATGTAGCTTACAAAATAATTTAAAAAAACTAAACATGAATCATCTTGAACTAGAAAATGTAAACACAAAAATTATATTTAACAGAAAAATGTAGAACATCGCCCTTTATAAATAAAAATAGCATTAATATAAACTTAAAATTTTATCTTTTAAACTTATACTGTGGTAGTTAAGGTTGTATGTCAACTTGGCTGGGCCTGGTTGAGTGGCTGGGCAGCTGGATGTAGTATTCCCCATGATGAGACTGGTAATCAACTCCATGGTGGAATCTGCTGTGAGCAACTGAGTAGCTGCTTTAGGGATGTAGTCAGCTTCCCGTATATAAGTAGCTGCTTTGAGAATGGTCTGTAGCTTATGGTACACTTGAACCCTGTGTGTAGCTGTGTCATTGTTCAGCAGCCTGCCATGCTCTGCCGACCTTGGAACCTTCAATGGACTTGAATTAATGGCCTACCATGTGGTTTGGTAACATCGGGACTGTGCCTTTTTACTTATTAACCCTGGGCTTGTCAGCCTCAGCAGCCAGCAGCTGTCTGAATGAAGAAAAACCTCTAGCTTCAGTGGGCTGGGAGTGGGAAGCAGAGCTGAAGCCAAGGTTGAAGGGCTTTTACCCAGCCCCTAGAGTCTGGCACATTGAACTTGGACTTAAGGCCTCTAAACTGTAGGAGAATAAACTCCTGTTTGTTAAAGCATCCCATTTGTGGTATCTTCTGTTAGAGTGGCACTAGGTAAATAATTTTTTTATGTTTAAATTACTTCCTTATTATATAGCAGTCAAAAATGACCAAAAAATTCCTGTATGTGTCTTCCCGTGGCAGGGTTGGCAGTGGGGGGAGGGGAGAAGAAAAGAGATTATACTATTGTCAAAAGGTTTACAAATTTAAAAAAAAAAAAAATGAAGAAAATGGGAAAATACTAGGTAAAAAGCCAGCTATTCACTCACTAAAAAACCAAACCAAACTCACTGCCATCGAGTCAGATCCGACTCATAGTGACCCCTCCTTGGGTTTCCGAAGTGGTATCACTACAGAAGTAGATCGCCCAATCTTCCTTCCAAGAAGTGGCTGGTGGGTTTGAATCACCAGCCTTCTGGTTTGCAGTCAAATGCCTTAGGCACTATATTACCAAAGCTATTCACTCAAGTTAATGATAAAATACTCCCATTTGCTCTTAAGGAGTCATATTTTATGGTACTGGTGGAGGGGTGTTGGGGAGTGAGGGGGCAGAATGGTTCTGGTAGAACAAATCATAGTTACCCTAGGAAATATAAAGTTCCATAGATCCTTACTTGTAGCCTCAAATTCTCTGTAGGCAGAGAAAAACTAAAAATAGATACTTAAACTCTATTTATTAAACAATTTGAGAAAGAGAATGACTTGCTTTATGAAGACACATACTCTATTTAGCCTTTTCCCTGTGATCATAAAAAACAAAAAACAAAAAACGATCCTTTTCTTGCCAGCTTCCTTGGATTGAACTCCCAACCCAAGTCCAACTGGAAGAATCAAATTCATATACGATCTGGCATCAAACAGCTAATTTAAATAAAGAATAATGTGGCAGATTTGTTTTAAAGACAAATCAGGAAGTGAAAGACAATGAAGTCTAAAGAGGACATATAAACTGAAACAGCCACCAGTCTGAATCTGAAATTCACATTTCCAGCATTTATTAGCAGACTGGTCAGTACTCTAGAATATAAATATGTGAGAGCTGCAACTCACTTTATGAGAGTCACACACTGTACGGATACTGAGAAGGGTATGCATGTGGAATTTGTCTTTCCAATGAGATAGAAATGCCTGCTTTCTATCTTCTACAGCTTGCTAAGATGGCAGGCCAGAGTTGAGATTGTGAGGTCTTACTGGATACCATATCTGAGCCAAAACGCCTCCAGGGAAACCCTTCAGAAATGTGGGCAGGGCAGAACAACTTACCTGAAATGCCTTCATGCTGATGATTTCCACCCCACACTTCTTGCCATGTTCTACCAGATCACTGCCATAGGCATCCATGAGAACTATCGTTTTAAGGCATGGTATTAACTTATTCTCTACACCATCTAATAAGAGTTCTGCCTTCTCTGCTTTGTCAACAAAAACCAGAGAGAGTTCAGCTGGAAAAGAAGAGAAACAGTGAGGAATGAAGTTTTAGGATACTCTGGTAGTTAAGGTTGTATGTCAACTTGGCTGGGCCTGGTTGAGTGGCTGGGCAACTGGTGGTAGTTACTCCCCACGATGAGACTGGCAATCAGTTCCATGGTGGGATCTACCACAAGCAACTGAGTAGCTGCTTTAGGGATGTGGTCTGCTTCCCATATATAAGAAGCATTTTTGAGAATGGTATAGAGTTTATGGCACGCTTGAACCCTGCATGTAGCTGAGTCATTTGTTCAGCAGCCAGCCATGCTCTGCCAATCTTGAGACTTTCAATGGACTTGAATTAGTGGCCTGCCGTATTGTTTAGTAACATTGGGACTGTGCCTTTTTACTTGTCAATCTTGGGTTTGTCAGCTTCAGCAGCCAGCAGCTGTTTGAGTGAAGAAATGCTTCCAGGTTCAGTGGGCCAGGAGCAGCAGGCAGAGCTGAAGCCCAAGGTTGAGGGGTTTCACCTAGCCCTTAGAGCCTGGCAGTTGGAACTCAGACTTCTAGCCTCTAAAACTTTAAGAGAATAAACTCCTGTTTGTTAAAGCCATTCCATTTGTGGTATTTTCTGTTAGAGCAGCAGAAGTAACCAATACAGATACTAAAAGCTTGACTCTATAATATCTGGTGCAAGATTATTTTAATTACTACATCTTTTTAAATAGAATGATGTAAATTTAAATAAAAAAGCTCTCTCAAATCAAATATAAGCAAATGTAAAGTCACTGAATCTCACCAATAACTAGGTTGATGTCCAATCAAAGATCACAGACGTACCTTTGTTGATTATGTATGTGATCGCCTCTGTTCCAAGGGTATCATAAAGTGGAACCACCACCATGGAATAAGCAAAGCATCCCTGTTCAATAATCACCCACTAAACAGGAGAGAAAATGAGATGTTACAATAACATAATCACTCCAAGGAGAACAATACTCTAGAGAGATTCAAAGTGAAAACATTTGATATTACAAAATAAATATTTCTGTAATTACTACTATGTGGATTCATAATAAAAAGAAATTTCAATTTGCCTGAAAAATGGAGGCAAATATATGAAAAACCGATGAGGAAGTTAAGGTTGTGTGTCACCCTGGCTAGGCCTGGTTGAGTGGCTGGGCAGCTGGTGGTAGTTATTCCCCATGGGGAGTTTGGTAATTAACTCCATGGTGGAATCTACTATGAGCAGCTGAGTAGCTGCCTTAGGGAATGTGGTCTGCTTCTAGTGTATAAGAAGCAGCTTTGAGAAAGGTCTCTAGCTTTCTTTTTTTTGGCATGCTTGGAACCTGCATTTAGCCAGGTCTTTAGTCAGCAGCCTGCCATGCTGGCCCTGATGATCTTGGGACTGTTTCTGGACTTGAACTAGTGGCCTGTCATGTTGTTTGATAATCTTGGGACTGTGCCATTGTACTTGTTGGCCTTAGGTTTGCCAGCAGCAGCCAGCAGCTGCCTGAGTTATGAGAAGCCTCCAGCTTCAGTGGGCTGGGAGCAAGAGGCAGAGATGAAGACCAAGGTCAAGGGGCCTTCACCCAGCCCCTAGAGCTGGCACTTTGAACTTGGACTTCTAGCCTCCTAAGCTATAAGAGAATAAAATCCTGTCTGTTAAAGCCACCCATTTGTGGTATGTCTGCTATAGCAGCATAAGAGGACCAAAACAGATAATTAATCATATGAGACAGTGACTGGCTCAGATGGGAGAGCCCATTAAGGGCTGTGGTGGTTGTAGACAGTCTCATGGAGGAGGTAACTGAGCTTACCCTTTGCAAGAGAAGCAGGAATTAGACTTCTCTTTGGCAAGAAAGGTAAGGAGACTGCAATAGCAGGAGGACTATTTTCTAGTAAAGGAAAGAGGGTCAAGGAGTAGTCTGATTTGTCTGGCATGGATGGTTCCAGCTAGGAAGTGGGAAGAGATGAGGCTGATGAGGTTGGCTGATGCAAGACTGTGCCCATGGAGGTGCCTGGCTCTGGTCCTCAGCCATGCAGAGCTATTGCCTCTTTTTAGGGAAAACAATGGCTATGGGTTTAAGAAAGATCAATCTGGTAGCACTGTGTATATAGCCTGGAAACAGGAGGTGGAGGGCACATACTTGTGTAATAGGAAAAGCATTGTAAGCAAAATCTCCCCTGAAAAATGATGGGGGAAAGAAGCAATACAGTAACTGTTCATTTTGCCTCTAAACTCATCAGGCACAAAGCAACCGGTGTAACTAAAAGACAATTTGGTAAGATGAACTCTTTTGCTTATAATCCCTCAGAGCACCCCACTGCCTACAGCTGAAGTTTTCTAATGAAATCTTCTGCCAAACCCTGACATGGAGCACAGATGAAAGCACAGCTGCCGAGAGCAGACGCACAACCACTCACCTGGCCTGAATACTGCCCCCCACACCGAAATGGTTTTCAAGCTACTAACATTGTGGTCAAGTCCAAGCTTAGTAGGGTGCATGAGGTACCATGTGGCCCTGATCCTCTGTCCCGCCACTTCGTGCCCTACCACATGCTTCATTCCCATACACACACACGCTGCTTGATGTGAAGATGCAGTTGCTCCTGACATTGCTTCTGTCTCCTAACCATTATTTCCTACAAGATTTGTGTCTGAGAACTATCAAAGCCATGTACAGTAGGTGCCTAATGGTTTATACCTCAGGTCTGTTTTGAGCAAAGATGCCAATGAAGTGATCTGAGGAGGCCTTGAAGCCTTTGTGGATCAGTGCTGAGCCCACACATTCTGACAATTCTGCAACCTGAAACATGGAGGGAAAAAAAAATCAACAGCAATATCACACTCCATTTTGAGTATCAAAGCTCCCTAATGAGCGATGGACGAGTTGACTATCTCAGCTAGCAAGTGGCACTACACAGAGAAGGGGAGTAGGGAACAAGCAAGTATTCCTTCATTTATAAATTTTTGTTAAAGAAAAAGTTTTGTGCACCAGAGTTCTCTATTAAGAATTGACCACAGACTTCCTTCTGTAAAGCAAATTAATCTCATTCCAATAGCTGTAGGCCATGGATGTTTATGTCAGGATTTCTTACATATTTCTTTTTTTATATTTTAGTTTTTTAGAAAGAATAAAAGTTATAAAGGGATGTAGAGTTGTGGGTTTTTTTTTTTTTGGTATTTATGAAGAGCAGCTAAGTAGCTAAAATATGTCATTTGGTATACACACAGAAATAGCAAGTTTTTTGAGAGAGCTTTTAAAAAAATAAGAACAAGTTCTTATCATTAAACTCCAGAAATCCAGTTTTGATAATAAATTCTTAGAAAATAATTCAGCCTTAGGGGAGAGGGTTTTAAAAAGCCCTATGTACAAAGATATGTATTTTTAAAATAATCTACAATTGGAAAACTCTGAGAGGAAAAAGAGACCAATACCTGGATGATGGTAAATCTCTAAGAAAATGCTATATATCTAATATTACAATTATGAAGACCTTATCTAATGTAGCAGGCTATCTGTAACAATGTTAAACAAATACAGAAATGTATACTATCACCATTACAACTAAGGGAGCTCTGGTGGCATAGGGCAAAGGCATTTGACTGCTAACCAGAAGACTGGAGGTTCAAACCCACCAGTCACCCCTCAGAAGGAAGATTGGGCAATCTACTTCTGTAGAGATACTACCTCGAAAACCCAAGGAGGGGTCACTATGAATCGAATCAACTCAAAAATAGGTCGACCAACAGAAATCAGACAGGTTAATATACCCACCCCTATCCTTTCCACATGCACATCCTAAATAAAGTACAATTTAAAAAAAATCTTTAGAAGTCTTTTTTTATTAGCAGTTGATGAATTCTCAAGGGTACACCCATGCCCCCAGGAAACAGAGCCACACCTGCCTCTGTCCTGGAATGCTACTGGTGGAACACATAGTGCCATCCTGAGATGCACCAATAGCAAGCAGAACTGGCACTGGTGAGGGAGCAGTAAGAATAGCATTAACGTGCTTATCACCTTCACACTCCTTGGGCTATTTTATAACTCCTGTTTACATTAAGAAATCATAATCTGTGAACTGCTGGCAATTGTTTGCAAAGCTTATTAGGATAATTTGCACATATTTGTGTATCTAGAAAAAGGGTCCATACCCTTCTTCAAAAAACCTCAAAGGGGTTTCCAGCCCTTAAAGAGGTCAGAAATATAGTTAGTCCCTGACTTAGGAAGGGCTTCACTTTGAAGACTCTGTTGTAAGTTGGTTCTGACATAAATTAGTTCTGACATAAGCACAGTATCTCTCTTTTTTGTTTTTCTTCTTTAAAGGTTTCCTTAGTATTGCCTTTCTAGTATTAATCTCTTCATAAATCCAATCTTTATTTGTCTTTGGGAGTTAGAAACATTACGTTTGAGAATGATAGCATCAGCAAATTACAGCTACAACAATGTATGCAGTACATATTACTAATGGTAAGAAACACCAAAAAAAAAAAAAAAAAAAAAAAAAAACCTACAAGACATTCATAAGTGCATGGTCCATCATCTTTCCTAACTGGAATACATTAAAAGTCAGAGACTACACATACTGGGCTAGTGAAAAAATTAACTTAAATGTATAAATCCAAAGTTGGTTTCAGTTAAGCCCATTTTCATATTTTCACCAGCCTCTGAAATGTGTTATATACAGATTACCATCTTCAGAAATCCCAGTGATTTTCAGTCACTTGAAAATCCAATCTGAATTGGACTTGTCTTCTCTCTTCTAGCCAATAAATACAACAGAGAGAATCCAGAAAGCACACGAGTGGTCTGTGAAGCCTTAGGACCATCATGCAATGTAATACGTCCAATGCGTATGAACTGCTTTTACATCACTTGTGAAAATAAGGGATCTCAGAAGCTACTAGTTGGATGGAAATCAGCTTTTTGGTAGTGTTTTGTTGCATCTTACATAAGGTCTTTAGAGTTGGAACCAACTCAATAGCACTTATCAACAAAACTGAAACCAAACCAAACTCACTGCCGTCCAGTCGGATCTGACTCACAGAAACCCCTCCTTGGGTTTCTGAGGTATTATCTCTAAGGAAGTAGATTGCCCAAACAACAGAGGCAAAATGAAGGCAAGAAAACCCCTCCGGTCACCTGTGATACAGCTCATTACTCCATCTACAGGCAAGGCATAACATGCTGTTTCACCTCGCTACCCTCCTGGAAGAGATTAAACACTACCTAAAACAAAGTCTTCTGCATTTTGCTAAGGAGCTCTGGTGGCGTGGTGCCTAAGGCATTTGACTACTAACCAAAAGGCTGGTGGTTCAAATCCACCAGCCACTCCTCAGAAGGAAGGTTGGGCAATCTACTTCTGTAGTGATACCGCCTCAGAAGCCCAACAAGGGGTCACTGCGAGTCAGATTCGACTCGAAGGCAGTGCACTCGCGCGTGCATTTTGCTAACAGTGAACAGTTAAGTGCTGGGCTACTAACAGAAAGGTTGTCAATTCAAGTCCACCCAGAGATGCTCTGGAACAAAGGCCTGGTGATCTTCTCCTGAACAATCAGCGATTGAAAACCCTATGGGACACAGTTCTACTATGACACACATGCATCATCATGAGTTAGAATCGACTCCACAGCAACTGATTCCCCCCCTCCCCTCCAGATGAAAGAAAGGAAGAAGGCTTGTGTTTCAGCCTGTTGTTCTGTGCCATTGAGTTGGACCTGATCATAGCGACCCCTCCTTGGGTTTCGGAGGCAGTATCACTATGGAAGTAGATTGCCCCATCTTCCTTCTGAGGAGTGGCTGGTGGGTTTGAAGCACCAGCCTTCTGGTTAGTGGTCAAGTGCCTCAGGCACTAAGCTACCAGAGCTCCGTGTTTCAGCCTAGGAAGGACTAAAAAGCACCACTCCACAAGTGTGACTTTGTAGTTACAAATGGACATCCCCCCAAAATAAACCACGTACCAAAGACACCTTCCACACAAAAGCTAGAAGGGGGAAGTTAATTTGTATTCATCCATGCCCCAGGATTACTTGCTACTACAGTAGGGAAAAACCAGAGCCTAGGGACAGGGACAGTGAGCCATTTCCTGGACAGCTAGCTGGGAACAAAAGGCAGCCAAAGAGACACTTGCAGCTGCTCCTGCGTGTCCTCAGGGCGCTGCTTGGAATGGGGAAACCAGTGACATCTACATTTGCTGTGATAGTGATAAAAATAAATATAAAAAGCAGTATCTTTCTGCTTTGCTACCTGCGGTTCATAAACGACTATTTTAACTATTGTGGCTGTCAATCAGTTGGGACTGCAGAGTGATTAACTTAAATGTATAAATCCAAAGTTGGTTTCAGTTAGGTCCATTTTCATATTTTCACCAGCCTCTGAAATGTGTTATATACAGATTACAATCTTCAGAAATCCCAGTGATTTTCAGTGAAAACACTCAGCTCCCTCTGCATTCAAATAGTAATAACACAGGTATCGTCTCGAAAGACTGTGTTGTTACCTTGGGCTGCCCAGGGTGAAATTTTACCTCAGTTTTGAGGTGATTATGGGCAGCATCGAATATCAACATGATGCAACAGAATGCCCACAAGATGGCCACAAACTTCCCTTTCCATCCTGCTTCTGCCACTGACTGACTGTGACCTTGGACAAATCATATGCCTTCCTGTGCCATGTTTTCCTTATCTATAAAATGAGAGGGTTATTCTAGATTGAGGTTTTTAGACTTTGCCAGTACCCCACCCCTCACCCGCCCCAGGCAAAGAGAAGTAATCCTATTCCAGAGGATTTGAGAGAGGAATCACCTGCCTCCAGCACATTTCTAGAATTTTATCTTAAAATTATATTCTAATCCCACAATGGGAGCTCTGCATCCACATCAGTTCTGAAATAAAGTGCTTTGAACCACCAGTTAAATTACTTGGCTAGTCTTTCCTGGATCTTTGTGTAAAGCTACCCTCCGTTTGGCTGCTCCACATTTATCCCAAAGCTCTGAGCTAGTCCAGCATGCATACTCTTTAGGAACCAATGGCCCTAACCTTGAATGGCTTCAAGAACTACTAAGGTATTTAAGCTGGCATGAGCATGCCACAGATGCCAGAAAACTCACCTCTTTGTATGAAAGCCATTCGTAGGGTTGGTCTGGTTTCCGAGAGCCTAAGCAAGGTCCGTTGTCTGAAAAAAGGAAAAATAATGAAAAAACACAATTTGAAGGACACTCAATTTGTGAATTTCTCTTTAATACCCTATTGGTTTATAATAGAAGTCAGTGTCTGAGAGGTACAAAGATCCTGATGTAGGCTTCCAGAAAAGCTATTCTTCAAAATTTCTAAGAAAGTTTAAAGCACTCTAACTCAGAATATAAAAAGGAAAATATAATTTTTAAGTGCTGAACTTCTGATACCAAAGGTATTAAGAATTGCTTAGACTCCTAATTACATGGGTGAAGTCTTGATTACAGAGAAACAAAAATCAAGATGCAAAATGAGGTGGTATAATAAATAAGGTACTAAATTAGCAGAAAGAAAGAAAAGCTATTAGTAATTATTTATCCCGGGTGTGCAGAGTAGAACTGCTCCACAGGGATTTCAAGGCTGTGATTTCTCAGAGATCAGCAAGCCTACTCCCAAACAGTGTTTGGGGTAGGTTCTAAGGACCAGCACCTGGAGTCTCTGGGTGACACAATCAATTAAGCACTCAACTATTAAAGGAGAGGTTATCAGTTTGAACCTACCCCACAGGAGTAGGAGGACAGGTTTGGTGATCTCTATCTGAAAGATCACACAGCCCTGGAAACCCTGTGGAGCGGTTCCACTCTGCACACCCGGGGTCATCACGAGTTGGAATCAACAGCAACTGCTTTTTGGTTTTAAGGACTGCCACAGTAATAATAATCCTAAATCATTTCTATTTGGAATGACACAAAGTCTTTCTACAGACTGATACCCAGCTGACTGGGATGTTCTCTTTGCAGTTCCTGGGTACAGATCAGAAGTGGCTGGTTATTTAAGGGAAAGCTCTGTTCACCTAAAAATAGCTGCCACATTTAGATGGGCAGAGTTGACTACATCCACAAACGTTCCCTAATTTGGAACACGGGCTCTAACATCAGCTCCATGTTATTGTTTTAAAAAGTCACCTGCAAAGCAGCATCTTCCACAGGGAAATTTGATATTGGATGTCTGGTCATCTCCCATCTGACTAGGGCACATGCATTTCCATTTGGAGGGCATGACACATCTGGCTTCACCATCCTAGGTCTAAGTATTAGTTAGGTAATCTGATTTGGTCTAGGGATAAGGGAAAGTTGGAAGAAAAGCTGAGAATGGTCCCATCTGGGGCTCTGGCCAGCCTGGTCCTATTACACAGAGTCAGGCCTGAGAGGAAAAGTACAAAGGCAGTGGGAATTCAAGAAAAAGTTATGAGTGTGGGGAGAACACAGGCCTGTCAAATCTACTCCTTCACATGGCGTTCTCTGCTATCTCTAAAACAGTCCTTCCTGACAAAACCAGAAAGGAGCACCAAGTGGGCTCGTCAATTTACAGGGGCTGTAACAAAGAAAGGGCTGCACATGACAAATTCCATCAGATGTTTTCAGAAGAGAAAAAAACATACACCAGTTATATGAAATAATACAATTTTATTTTTCAAGAACAGGGATTAGCAAACTAAAGCCAGGGCTAAACCAGGCTGCCTCCTATTTTCATAAATAGTTTTATTGGAAGACAGCTAACCTTGCTCATTCATGCACCGTGTACGACTGCAATGGAGTAGTTGTAATAGAGATCATATGGGCCCACAAACCCTAAAGTATTTACTCTCTGGGTCTTTACAGAAAATGTTTGCTGCTGACTCCTGCTCTGTTGTTGTTGTCGTTGTTATGTGCCGTCGAGTCGGACCCAACTTGGGTTTCCGAGGCAGTATCACTACAGAAGTGGATTGCCCAACCTTCCTTCTGAGGAGTGGCTGGTGGACTCCTGCTCTAAATGGTGGTAATTAACCCCCAGATTCACTTGGGGGAACTTCAAAATACTCTACCTAAGCTCCTAAGGAGCTCTGGTGGTGCAGTGCCTAAGGCATTTGATGCCTACAGAAGGTCTGGTGGTTCAAACTCACCAGCCCCTCTGCAGAAGGAAGATGGGGCAATCTAATTCTGTAAAGATTTATTGCCTTGGCAACCCAATGGAGGTTGCACTGTGAGTTCGAATCAACTAGATGGCAGTGAGTCTAAGGCCCTTCCAATAGATACTCTGATACAATCAGACAGGGATGTGGTCTAGGCCTTGGTATATCCTTCCCACCAATTTTCATTTATTTATTTTAAATTTTTATTGTGATTTGGGTGAAAGTTCACAGAGGAAATTAATTTTCCATACAGCAGCTCTTATTTTTTGTTTCATGACTTTGACTACAATCCCCACATTTAACAGCTCTTCCAATTTCTCCCTGTAGTTACCTCTTCCCTGTGTCCTTCTTTCCTACACATTCCTGCCCCCTGAGCTATCTCCCTGTTCAAATACTGCCCTCTATTCTCCCATGATTGATCATTCTAAGGGCTGTATGTACCTGGTATAAACATTCACTCTGTACATCTGTCTGTAGCTTGGCTGGAAGCCATGGGAGTGAGTTCAATTCCAGACCTAAAGGTTAACTAGAGGCTATGGTCTCAGGGGTTTCACCAGGCTCTTTCAGCCCAGTAAGCTTGGTCTTTTTTTTTTTTTTTTTAATGATTTTGAGTTTTGTTACATATTGTTCTCCTACTATATCCAAGATTTCCTGGACTGATCATTTTCCAAATGGTTGACAGTGGTACCTAGATATCATCTAGTTCTTGTCTCATGGTCATATAGGTTGAGATCTGCATGGTCCTCTAACCCTTGGGCTAATTGTTTCCATGCATCTTTGGTTTTCTTCATTATTCTTTGCTCTAGATGAAGAGAGACCAATTGTTGCACCTCTATAAAGGCCTTGGTGTGTTTGAAAAGATCCCAGGTAATACTAATGAGCAGCTAAAGTTGAGAACCCCTCTTTATCAGAGGGAACTCAATCTTTACAAATGGCTTCCTAGGTTCAGTTTAAAAATACTAGGTGTAAAAACTCACTGGGTTTCTCCCATTGTTTAATAAACTTCTGACCATGTTCTCCTATTGCTGGCTTTTGCTCTCCTGTAAAAACTGACTCCTATAGTAGAAAATGAAATCTTGAAATAAAAAGCTCCTCTGGTAAAAAAAAAAAAAAAAAAAAGAAGGGGGAGGGAGTGACCTGCAAAGCAGTTCCCTCCAATCAGTACACATTAAGAAGACTGAGTATATTTTTCTTCAACTTTCATTCACATACGAAGCTTCATTTTCCAAGTAGAGAATGTGAGCCTCCCAAAATTATGAAACTTGTCTTAAGATCATGGGAGAGTCGAAAGTATAATGGAAGTCACATTTTCAGCACCCAGCAACAACATGTTTTATGGTAGTAGTGAAGAATACACATACCACCACCACCACCACCATCATCATCTTCTCCTTCATCATCATCCTCTCCTTCTCCTTCAGCCAGACTTACATTAGGCTATTCTACCTTATGGATATTTACTATCACAGATAAACCCTGATCCTGAAGCTAACTTTGAAGAAGTTCACAAATTAAATCATATATAATAAGTACGTTTCCTTTCCCTATCCCCTGTAGCTTAATGAATCTGTTACAACATATACACTTTTAGGAATATCAGGGCAAACACACTGAACTAATAAAATTTTACCAACATCAAGTAAAAACACAATAGCACACACTACATGGGTGTGTCTTATTGGGATAGAGAATACAAGCACATAAGTCAAAAAGGATTACAATCTAGCTAACAGTGACAAAAATAAATGCTAACCACTAAAAGATTTAAATAACAAAGTATGGATCCTAAATACCATTTCTAGAGAGGAACCTGGTATAAGCAAAACTAAAGGGGTTGAAACAAAAAAGGTGGGGAGGAGAGCATAGGGTATTTTTCCCTTCACTGTTGTTGTTGTCGTTAAGTGCCGTCGAGTCGTTTCCAACTCATAGCGACCCCATGCACAGCAGAAAGAAACACTGCCCTATCCCGCGCCAACCCCACAATCCCTGCTATACTTGAGCTCATCATTGCAGCCACTGTATCAATCCATCTCATTGAAGGCCTCCTCCTCTTTCGTCGACCCTCCACCCTACCAAGCATGACATCCTTCTCCA